TACCCTTGGAACGGCTTCTTGACCCAGCAAGCAAGTTCAGCCCACGAACCATTGCCTCAAGGAAAGGGATGTGGTGACCGCAAAATCCTAGATCTGATGGAAGGGGGAGGGGAAAGATTCCCTCCGAGGACTGTCCACAACGCGTGTTCACATGCAGTTCAAACGCTTCCATCAGTTTGGCTAAGATTTCTCCCACATCTCCCACGACTGCTGAATCATTCTGGCACTTGTTTTTGAGCAACAGGCGTAGTCTATCAAAGTCGTCCACCTTGTGCTCTGACACTCCGCTGCCCCAAAATGGGGTAACACTGGGCCCGGGTTGCACCCCTCGGCACGGCGTCAAAGCCAGTCGAGGACCCGACGTAGATAAATTCTCGAACTCCTCAAGATCCGGGCGGCACCTCTTCAAATGCTGTCGCCCAAAAACTCTCTCCTCATACTGGGAGCTCCTCTTCTGCTCCCCTTCCATCTGCTGCGGACTGTCAGGACGATCCTCAGCTCGATTCCTCATCTGCGTTGGGAGACGGCCCACGCCTGTCTCCCTTGCATCTGAATCCTCAAACTGGGAGGTGCCTGAGCAGTCCCTCCCCTCTTCAGCCTCTGCACGGCTTGCCCGGCCCGGAGCCAACCCTGGACTTTTTTTGACAGTAGTTGCTCCCCCAGGCTCATAAGTCTTTGCTTTCTCTTTGCACTCTCGCAGCAGCTCCTCAATAGCCTGCTCATCCTCAGCCTCTAATCTTGCCACACCTGCCTTAATTCCTTTCTCCTGCCATTGCAACCTTAGCTTCATCTTTCTACCTCTACTTGGCGACTTTTCTCTGTCAACTCCTGTCGACTCCTCTGACCCTTTTGCTGTTCCCTCTTCAGTCTTCCCGGCCTCTAACCTTCTGTTTTTCCTTTCTTTTCCCATTTGTTTTTGCCCTTTCTTCCTTTCTCTCCTTTGTCCCTGTAGGCCGGCTCTGAAGATGGAACAGCTTTACCTCGACTCTTTCCTTCTGTGTCGCCTTTCCTCCCCATCCCGTGGGGCTTGCTCCCCATCGACTTGTTCCTGAAGTCCTCACGGGCGTGCTTCGCCGCCTCATAGTTCTCGCCAGCCTCTGCCATGGCCACCTGGTCGGCCCCGACAAGTTCAAGCTGCCGAGAGACGGTGTAGTGCCCCCCCTTGAGGGTGGCCTCAAGGGACTTAGCCCTCTGGACTAAGATATCCAGCGCACTGGCAATCTTGCGCCGGATGATGAGATCGCTCGCCTGGGCTATGGTGTTCATCTCTTGCCAGAGGACTGGCGACGCAAGTGGCTTCAAGTGTTGATATGTGTAGATGGCAAAAATGGGAGCCAATTGCTCCCTTGAGCTGCTGTAGAGGTCTCCTCTTGCTGTCATCAGATGCTCTCTCATATTCTCCAGTGCCTGCATCGTCAAAGCTCCTGGATAGCGGTTGTGAAGCCGCTTGACTCTCCTCGTCTCCTCGAAGAGCGGTGCGTCATCATCGGATTCGTCCTCATCTGAAGCATCTGATGAGCTGCTCTCCTCATCTCCTGAACTGCTGGAGCGTTTCCGCTTCTTATCTTTCTTTGTCTTCATCTCCCGAGCCTTCTTCATCAGTCTCCTCCGGCGGCTGACGTTGGGGTCCAGGCATGTCCCACTAAAGATTGCCCGGGCTGTCTTCTGACCCCGCTCCAGGGTCTCCTCTCGCTCCAGTGCCTCCAGTTTATCTTCCCACTCTTTCTCGGCTTTTCTCTCTTTTCCTTTCTTCTTCTTCTTTTCTCTCTCCTTCCCTACCTTCTTCTCAACCTCAGCCTCCTTGTCCTCGGCCTCTTTGGCCTTGGGAGGTTTGTCCCCTCCCCTACCCTTGCCTCGCTCCTCAGCCAGTCTCCTCAAGGAAGAGAGCTCATCAAACTCCGCGATGGCTTTCTCAGAGAGGTTCATTTGCCACTCCTTTGGGGAGACTGCACAATCCCAGAACCCCCTGGCGTGGAAAAGCTTCAACCCAGTTTCCAGCTGCGCGCAATCGTCCTTGCAGAGGTGTACCATCACCGCCCGGTCTTCTCCACCTCCGAACGTCTCCATCACGCGTTCTGATTAGGGTGCCAGTGAGGACAAACTCCATCCGGCCCTCCGCTGGGTGCAGAGCCCTCACGCGTCCAGCCACATGCACGGAAGCGTTGTAGTAGGATGCTCTGTCCAACTCAATGACATCCAGGCCCTGTAGCCTTTCCAACGTGAGATCGGCCCACGAGTAGAGCTTCTCCACTGGGAGGTCTTCCTCCCCTCCAGCGGCTGGTCGTCGGCGAGGTCGAACTCGAGGAACGGAGGCTGCTGGTCGTCGTACCTTGGGAGCCATTGCTTCCCTTACCAATGGTAGCGGCCTCCCCGGCCGCGATGTTTTCTGTCCTGAAGTTCCTGCTTTGCTCTCTTTGTAATCCCCTTGTTGGTTCCTTGGGTCCACCGTGGGTGGTCTGAATAAGGCACGCGGCCCCTCCAACCAGAACCCTTTGACTTACCTTTGCTTTCCCCTTTCGATCCTGATGATCGCTGCGGTGGAGGTCGCTCCGGAGTGTGTGGTGACCTGGGTCTCCTCTGTGTGGGCCTAGGTCGTAGAAAAGGTTCACGCACAATGGGGGTTTCCTTTGTCTCTGCCTCTTCTGCACGCTCCTTCTTCTCTTTCTGGGAGTCTGCTGCCTCCCGTTTCTGTCTCCTCACTTCTGATCCACTCACTTCAGCGGACCGCGAATCTCCTCTCCTTCGCCTCCTTTTGTCTTTCTCCTGTCTGCGCTTGGGTGACCTTGATCTCTTCTTAGTGTCTTTCTCCTCTTCCCTTCTCCTTGGCAATGGCTTTCGTTCTTCTGTGGCTTTGGGAGATCCCTCAACTCCCTTTGTACCCTTCTCTGGCTCCTCCTTGGCCTGCAAGTAGGGCGAAACGCCTGTCTCCTCACCTGCACTCTTGCGACTCGGCTGTGTGCCTCCCTGTCCGGTCTCCGCGGCCTCCTCTTTGGTCTCAACCGACTTTTTGGGAGACTCCTCTCCCTTCTTCTTCTTCTCCTCGGACCCAGCTCCTTCACTGGGAGCAGCGGCTCCCCTCTCGGGGCTATCTTCCTCAGGTAGAAGGCGTCCAATCGAATAAAATGCCCCGTCCAATATCTTGGTCACTTTAAACTGGGCCTCCTGAGTAGCAGGGAGTCGGGGTCCAGTGGCCGCCGCTATCAACCGAGTCGAAGAGACGCACACCGAACAGGTGCCTGCCAAAAGCGACCACTTGTGGCAGGATGAACAAGTGGGCATTCCCCTTCGAGCCCAATGCTACGGTGAAAAGGCGGAAAGTGTTGTGTTTACTCATGAGGTCATAAGAACATAGATTATACAGAGGAATCCGGGAATGTATATGATATAATAATTAATGGCATGGTGCTTCACCAACCATGCTGGTGGAAGGACCAAGTCGCTTAGCAGCGCAGCAATCCCACTTTCGAGGGACTTCCGAACGTCGTGCTTCAAGGGCAGTGCAGGGATCTTATGCCTGCATGTCTGGGAAAACGAGTTCCCGGCTTAAGATTTGGAAAATTAATTGTTCCGCGCTCTTTCAAGCCTTGGATTGTTTCAGAGTTCCGGACACAACCTCTTGCAAGGCACAAGGTGTACAGGGTGCACAGCAACACAAGGTAAGACCTTGTCCCAGTGTCAAACCGCAAGTGATGCTCTAAAGCAAGGAAAATGGCCCGCCTCTCTGTATCCATGCTCATTGAAGCGCTTTGAGCCGAAACCCTGGCTAAAGTGCTCTTCGCCCTCCACTGTGATTCAATGGTTGCTGAATGCCTGTCTTCTAAGGAAGTTCACCAAATGCAATGATTTCTTGTGAATCGCACTGCTGATGTTGGAGATTGGTCTCTATTCTTCGCAGCGAATTGAGTCTCTCTCCTCTGACAGAAACGGATGCATGGCACTGACAGGACTTTCCTTGGACTTTGAAGCAGCTCATAACAGCTCTGTGCCTGAGGACCAGACGTGCTTCCTACTCAACACTGATGATCCGAGAACACTACTAGGAACAAGAAGCTACTAGTAGCTCCTGGCATCGCTACTAGTAACACACTAACACTTTGAGATCACACACTTTGAGGCTAATGGCTGAAGCACACGAAGACATACAATTACTCTCCGATAGCCTCACCTACGCTCTGTCGGCCATGTTCACACATTGCAAAGTGGTCACCATGATTCATGATTTTACAACTGCCAAAACCGCTGTTCGAAATCACCATATTTTTCTCCACACCCTTGCGGAATCTACCATGAACATCCACCACTTTGGTTTAACCAAAGTGAGAGATGTGTAAGTCGTGGGCGACGGGCCAAGCGCCAGCCATGTCTAGCGAGAGGAATGCGAACAGGTTTGGACCGTGGCTTCATAATCTTATTGTTTCGGACATGCCTATCAGCATGTTGCATAGATCCAGAAGATCGACAGAATATTCAACTGATGCAACTCTCGGTTGACCCTTGAAATTGTGCACTGCTTGGCAGCGTCTATGCAACTAAATGAGTGTCGGAAATGATGGCCACACAGCACCAAGGTTCAACTTCAACTCCTAGCTTTTCCAACCCTCAACTCAAGGACCTACCTTCTTAAGACCTACCTTCTTAAGCGGGGACAAACACATGTCGTGTAATTGCACTAGTATGTACTGCAATATCTCTGAAGCTTCCACTACCTCCATTGTATATAATTGATTTTTCTAAAAGTCCAAGTCTTTACTGTTGACTCTTCCGGAAGTATTGTAGCGACTTACGTTCAATTGAAAGCTACAGCTTTCTGCCATTTGCAAAAGCTGCGGTGGTACCTTTCCTCAAGGCCGTTTCGATCGCTTTCGTCTCATGCAACATTACATGTTTGTGCTAATTCAGGACTGAGGAACTCCGTGCGTCACCGATGAAAAACGGCTCCGATGTCAAAATCCAATTTTGATCCTGAAACATTTGGCCAATGGCTCCGACGTCTCAGCTACTCAAATTGTTCGACGGGCCCCCGGAGACAAGTCCACCTGCTGGGAACACATGCAGGGTCATGAAGGGTGCCGGCACTGAACATGAGTATATAGTTCTAATACATGAAAAGATCGATGTCAATTCCTAACGGAAACAAACTAGGCATGGTATTATGTCAACATGTGCATGCGAAGCGTTTGTGATTCCAGCCCATCACCTCTTCAATGTCCTCTGCTTCAAGCCATGCTCCCTGCGAATGCCGGTCACTTTTGGAGTGCTTCTGACAAAGACAAGTTTGACGAACAGAATGTGTGGTGAATCTCCATTCCAGTAGTCCTCAATAGTCCTCATGACATCTCATGACGCTTTCGAAGCAATCAACCTGGAGCCTTGGCCTATCCTTGCTGTTTGACATCTCAAGCCTGAGGACGGCAACAGGTTGCGCCCGAGGAATTCCACCTGAGAAGCACCCAACAATCGTTTGGTTGGGTCTTGACTTCACGCAGGTGACATTGCAGGCAGCAGTGCGCCCAGAGCTTGTTGGTCTTGCAGTCAATCCATGAGAGCAATCCCTTCTTGGACTGAGACCGAAGTCCAAGGTGCTGCTCATGAGTAGCACAACGACGAGGTCCTCACCAGCGCATCCAATCCCAAGACGCGTCCGCGAGAGGCATGAGGAACCTGGATGATGTGAAGGTATGTCATGATGTCTCTCTTGCATCTTTGCAAATTGAGTTCTCATTAGCTTTTGCTGGCTGTGAGTCTCATCTATTTTCCTACTCAGAAGCTCCTGCCAAGTAAGTCCCCTGTCCTTCTGGGGGATCAATAGAGGACAAGTTTGCCGAAACATCTAGCAACCAACTTGCAAACCCTTCTGCGTCCCAGCACGTAATTAGCAACTCATTATATAATATACTAGTCGGACTAGTCGTGGCTGCTTGAGACTTGAGATGCTACTAGTAGCTCAAGCCCCACCACTTCATCCCCAACCAGTGTCTTAACAGTGCTCGCAGAAGGTCTTTTGGAGCGCTCGCGATCCATGAGAAGATCTGCTTATCAAAATCAACCACGCCGGCTTGGCTGATCGACAGGGTCCCGGTCGCCCGCCGTTTCTTTTTGTGGAAGTTCCCGGAAGATCTCACATGACATTGCTTTTCAACGGCAGGAATGCCCCTGACTCTCAGCTTGCTCAGGCTTTTTGCGAGCGAGGCGGCCTTTGGCAGGGTCAAGAATTCATCCTTCTGAGAACATACTCACTGATACCTCCTCTTGCCTTTTCCATCTTTTTCCAACAAGTTCAAACTTAAAATAGTAGCGAATTGAATAGGAAGGCATTAGGGCAAGTTTTCCCAAAAATGTAGACACCAAATGAAACGTGCAAGAGCTTTCCTTCGTCCCAGCTAGTAGTAGCGCTTACTACGAGTAGTAGCTACTCCCTACTTCGGCCTACCCGCTCCCCTTTTTGAAAACAGTAATCTCATTCTGCAGCATCTTGCTCCATTACAGATCTTACAGGGAGCAAGTGCTCAAGGGACTCAATGATGCACTTCTGATCGCAAAGCTCTGTCCCGTGCCTGCCCCTCATTCTGGCTCACCCTCGGTGCTGAAGGGAATGTTCATGCGCTTAGTGTCCTCCAAGGCTTGAGCCGTGGCGGCCATGATGAATCGTGGGTCTTCAAATCATGCTTGTCAACCGGTCACTATGGTCCGTGAAGCCCTCTTTGGGACCATGCAACACCTTTGCAGGACTCCAGAGTTCGGAAACTTTACGAATTCTAATTCTTGTTTCTAATAGCTTCTTGTTCCTAGTAGTAAGGCCAGGAACCCCTAGTAGCGTCCTTGCTCCTAGTAGCGATGCCCTTTGCTCTTTGTTGTATATTATGCATGGATCTAGTTTCTAATGTGGGCCTCTTATTAATAACCCCCCCTTGATCAAGTGTGGGCCCCAAATAATGTGATTTCCAGAAAAATCCTAGAAAATATTGATTTAAATTGGAAATGAAAGGAAAGGAGATTGAAGGAAAGGAAAAGACAATCAAGGTCCAGAAAACATTTAGTACTATTTGAGGACCATATATTGGTTTTTGAAAAGATTTAGTACTATTATTCACGGGCCATTTACAAATAGGAGGTCAACATTAGTTGTGTAAATAAATATTATATATTACCACCTTCGCAGGTACTAGATTCCTGGGGCATACCCCTGGAGGCACGTCCCAGAAGTCCTGCTGTTTCTGCCAAACAGTGTCCAGTCAAAATCTGTGCATTGAAGCTTGAGAAGTTGACATGTTGAGCCTTCATCGTTTGCATCAGGCTGGTTGTGAACTTAGGGTTGTTGCTGTGCTTACTTGGAGCCTTGGAGCTTGAAATAGTATTAGCAAGGATGTCACCGCAAATGATATTTTCTCTAACTGCTGTCACAACAGGTGTCACACAAGTGCTAGAAGCTCAATTGGGCTGATCACGTTTCAACATGGTCTTGTTTAAACTTGTTTCTGGAGCATGGCAAAAGAATATCAATCATTAGGCATGGAATGCATGAAAAGTGTCCTCATAGTGCAAGTGAGGATGGCCAGGCTTTGGCAAATAGAACTCAGGGTAGTCAGGATCGTGGGAGTCACGCATCCACACCCAGTATGGGTGCCACCTTAGCAATGTCGAAATGTGACTCTGCGCTGACTGCCGTCCTCAACGCTCCGGTTTTGACTTGGAAACTTCTTGTTCCTAATAGCTTCTTGTTACTAGTAGTAAGGCCAGGAGCCCCTAGTAG